TTTTTTTTTTTTTTTGAGTCACTGCACTCTTCCTTAGTAGTTTTGTAAATGTTTATGTTTATTAGTTTGTTTTCCACTACACTTCACTTCACTCTATCTTTGGTAGGTTTGTGTTTAAACTTTTTGTTTTTTGTCACCAAATTTTGTGTCTTAGACGTAAATTATAGTGCCTTTCGTTTAGGCTCGAAGGACCATGAATAAATCTATACACAATCACACACCAGTGATCCAACACTAACACTCGATTCAATATAAAATAAACGCAAGTGGCTTGGTAAATCAATAATTTTAGTTTATTCCGCATTTACTGACAATATATTTTACACAAACGAAATTAAATATATAATATACCGTGGGGTGTAACTGGTGTCCGAACGAATTATTTTACCGAAGGTATGTGTGGCGCTCAGGCCCGTAGACGATAAGCGAAAGATGATGTGAGGGCGATGATCCCGTCCCTGTTGTTAGATGTACAGGTGCCGTGTTATGGTGTGTTTTCATCGAGTGGTGAGAACCTGTGATTGTTCTTTGGTGTGGTGTGTTGCATTAGGGTGCGCCAGTTGTTACCGGAGAGAGTGGTGGTACTGAGGCTTAGCTCACTTAAAAATAGCCAAAAATTTAAAAATTATTGATCCGATTTAACCAATATTTTATACAAAAAGATACTATTATCGAGAGTTTCATTTATTTATTTTATTATATAAATTTCAATTATATATCTTAAACATTGACCGATATTTTCGGCAGAAAGTCAACTATAGGCACTGGTGTTAACATATTCAGTACCTAGGGACTTGAACAGTTATGGTTCGATTTAGACAATTTTTGGTCACAAGGTGGCATACTTTAAACGCATTATTTACGCAAAGTTTTACCCCGATACAGTCATTGTTGCCTGATTTGCATAGTGGAAAGTGAAAGGGTCAGATGAAATTTAAAATGGTGTTATATGGGAAGTAGGCGTGGTTGTAGTCCGATTTCGCCCATTTTCGCACTATGACATAGAAACATGAAGAACGTCATGCACCGAATTTGGTTGAAATCGGTTAAGCAGATCTCAAGATATGGGTTTTCATCTAAAAGTGGGCTGTGCCACGCCCACTGTCTAATTTTGAACACGGTTCCTATAAAGTCATCGCATACCATCCCAGAGATAAAATTTAATGTCTCTTGCTGTTTAGTGCTTGATTTATCACGCTTTTAGTAGTTTTTAACAGTACCGTTATATGCGGAGTGGGCGGAATTGCCACTTGATTTCAACTATTTTCACACCGTCAATAGAAGTGCTAAAAACATTTGCTTGCGGTGAATTTTGTTAATATAGAATTAGCGGTTTAGGAGATATGCACATTAAACCTATTGGAGGCGGGACCACGCCCACTTAACAAGAAAATTTAACTGCAGATGCCCCTCCCTAATGTGATCCTGTGTACTCAACAACAGCCTCATGTATCTTATTGCGGAGTTAGTTATGGCAATTTATTTGTTTTGATTAATGGCTTTGTGGGCGTGGCAGTGATTACGCCCACGTGGGCGTTCTTCCAGTGAATTTTGTTATTATATCTTTAGCGTTTTAGGAGATATGCACATTTAACTTCAGGTGCGGGACACACTTAAAAACAAATTTAACTGAAGCCCCTCATTAGATCCTGTACCAAATAACAGTCATGTATCTTATTGCGTAGCTTAGTTATGACAATTTATTTGTTATAAACAGTGCCTAAAGTTGACCTTCTACCGAAATATCAGCCAATAAAAGAATTACGCCCAACTGCAATACAACCATCTCACGGTACCAATAAACATATCTACCAAGTTTCACAAAGATATCTCAACTTTACCTGTTAGAGCTGTTCGGACGTTCGGACGGAAGACAGACAGTCACCGATTTCAACTGCTCTCTTCATCCTGATCATTTATATATATCATTTATATATATAAACCCTATATCTCTCGATTAGTTTTAGGATACAAACAACCGTTAGGTGAACAAAACTATTATACTCTGAGCAACAGGTTGCAAGAGTATAAATAATATTATACTAGGCGCCCTCGCTGTTACATTTCATTTTACATATGTACATACCTTTATTTACATACTGTAACTTAAATAATTATTATGATTTTATTCACTATGTATAGGAAACAAAATATTATATAAACTAAATTCGCTAAAAGTTAATAAGTTGTTGTTGTAGTTGTCTGCGAAGATGCCAATCCAGCGACATTTTGACTTACTCTAGAAGTATATAGCCGTGGAACTGATTAAGACGTCCATCACAAAAATGTCTGGAAATAATAATATACATCAGTCTTCGACTAACTCGTGCCGATAAGACGTCTGTTTTGAATCGGAGTTCTCTTGATTAGTTAGTTTCTTTCCCACTTCTAAGTGTGTGAATATTTTCTTTAGTTATTTTCTTTCTCGCCTATCACATAGCATAGTGTTGTTAAAGTAAACGTGCAAAATGGGCCGTACGAATCATGAAGCTAATCGTTCGCAATACTCGATACCGGTCAAATAAAAGAAAAAGAAAAGTGATCTCGAAATAAGTGTACCCTTATTCATGCCCTTTACCCTGAAACCAAAATCGTTGACCAAATTTATAATAATTAGTACAACCGACCCATTAAACCTTCATTCTACTCCTGTTTCGCTATACACCGTGCCATCCAACAGATCAGCAGCCAAGTGCACTCAATAACCTTCCTACGTGATGGAAAATTACTTCTTCAGTAAAAGCAGTGAACGCATACAAATTCCCAGAGTTAAGACTCTTGAGACATATGTGATATGATCACATTCCATCAATCCTAAACAAGTGAAAGGCACAATTTATGCGCCGTTCCTAGAAATGTACTGAAGAGGAAATTATTAAAGAACTGACTCTCAAGGTGTCGTGCAGCATATAAATTCAAAAATAGAAGGAAAAGAACGTCCTACGGAGTGTTGTTGCTAACTTTTAATCTTTATAACATACCCAGTAAATTGATATTGCCTGGTGTACAGTTTTAGTTCGACAATACATACCCCTTCCATGCGCTGCAAATCATGTCAGCTTCTAGGGCATACAACAAAACATTGTAACCGTTCTCCACTTTGTGTAAATTCCTTCCTCCCATACCCAAAGAATGCGAA